ACTAAGACGATATTTTTTAATCCCTCCTTCCTTGCTGGATAGTGTCTCCTTTAAAATGCCCAAAATGATTAGACAGAGTTATTTAGTGGAGAAAGCAGTAGGGAGTTTTGTGAATTAGATTTGAAGCCTGGCTTTAGAACTAAAGAAGCAAGTAAAAGTGCCTAACAATATGTGACACACAGCAGTAGCCCAGTAACTGTGTGTGTAAGTGTGTGTGTGTGTGTGTGTGTGTGGCAAAAAATTCTGAGTTGCTTGCCTTACTTTTAAAATTGAGAAACTAACATTCTTCCCAGGTTATAATAAGATACGAAATGTAAATTTTCTTTTTAACCTCTAAACCCTCCTGTAAAGAACATTTACATTACCTGTAAAAATATCACCGTCTCACTAATACATGCTACGATACTATTTGCAGATCCAGATTAGAGAGAATGCCATTGTTAACTTGTTAAATAACAACTATAAAAACTCTGCGTAATTCCTAGTGTAAAATGATCACATTTGGCCCTAAAATTGTGCAAAAGGAAATGGGCAAGACAGGTGTTCCAGAGGAGGAAACCAGGGTGGAAAGGACTCTAGTAATTTGCTGAAGGTCACGGAGCTTTAAGAAGAGACAACATGGGTAACTTTCTTGTTTAAAATTCCTAAAGCGCCAGTGTCGGTCATCTCTTTAGGACACAGTTTAGCGTCCTGGCCAGAATTAAACATCTGTTTTTAAGCACAGATTGTTGATGGTGCCAGAGAACTAACCCACCTATTACTATTTATCACACGATGCATTTCATTGCTTCATTTATTTTCCCAGCAGGTTTAAATAAAACTCAGCCTTGGCATTTCATAACCCAGAATCATGTTTTTCTGGGAATAACAGCATGATGACCCCAAGGCCTTTTGCTTCAGAAAAAAGCATTGTAGGCAAACACAGGAAATGCAAAACATTGTGTTTTATTTGGGTTCTTGTTTTATTTTTGTGGTCAGATTCTGCATGAATATAAGAGGTTTTGAGACAAAGTCTGTTGGATTGTTTTACCTAAATCGAGCCCCCGAATCTCTATCAATTACTGACTTAATACAAACTATATTCCTTTCCTAGCAATTGACTTATTCTTCCTAGATTATAATCATGCGACTTAATTAAGAGCGAAAGGGTGATGTGGATTTGTTCTTCAAAATAATTTTATTTTTCATGACGTTGTGCCAAAAAACCCGTCTCGTGGACGTGACATACCTATACTCCAGCCACAAGAACTGTGTGATTTTTGGGGGATCAGCTGCATGGGGTCCAAACGGTGTGATACTCTGACAAATCGCCATACCAGAAATGTGTTGGGAAGAAGTTCTAAAAGCGATATCTAAACAGTTAGAAACTTCTTACATCGATACCCAATTTTTACATCCTTTTTGCGCATTCTCCTGAAAGGTGTTAGATGTTAAATTCATGGCCATAGCCTAGGTTTTAGTACATTCTGTGTACATATTTCATTATTCATCGCTCACAGACCAGCCGATGTTCTTCCGCTAGTCTCTACAACACCTGCTCTATCACAAACTACAAAAAAGCCCAAATCGTCCTTCTGCTTGCAAACAGCCTTATGGCCCCAGCTTAACAGTTCGAGAAATGGCCTACTAGAAGCAAGTTACAATATATAGAGAGTATACAGGGATCAAATTATAATGTCGTGCCCGTGGAATTGATGTAATATTAACCAATGCCATCTCAATAAAAAATTAATTAATTAAAAAATTACGGATGTTCAAGACTTCTCCCTACACTTTGTCTGTTTTTCAGCCTTCTAAGCTGTCATTTTGTTATGGTTGTACGGTTTTGTCCAGACCCTGGACACTGGCAAACTCAGAGTTGCTCCCGAAGGTGCCGATAGGGATGACTTGCTGCCCTTTGTGTTCTGTGTCCCCAAGGCTCTTGGTTGGGCGTTTGGAATCCCTGGCAAGCATTTAAAACTCCCAGTGTCCAGGCTGCACCCAAGACCAATTAAATCGGAATTATGGGGGATGGGACCCACTCTTCAGTGATTCTAAAGCTCCCCACGTGATTACAGAGTATAGCCAACGCTGAGAACCTCTGAGTGTGAATATAGAGAGTTGAGTTACCAGCTGCTGGTCAACGGCTTTTCTGCTTTGTCTAGGATCATGTTCCTGATTAGACTTGAGATTTGCAGGTCCAGCTGTGTGTTTGTTCTTGCTCTCTCAACGTTGACCCCACACCGCTGGCACGTTGGCCTGGTTGGCTAATGTCCACCCCTAGAGACCCATGCATTCTTCCTAACCAACCGACCAGTCTGGACCTGGAGTGAGCAGGGAGAGAATTCTCGTACTCCTTCGAAATTTTTCTTTCTCTTCTTCTATAATGATAAAATTGCTTCTGTAATTTCAAGTTAGGGACAGGGACACACACACTCTCTTTTTCATCTAAACTCACTCCCTAGGTAATCTCATCCAACCACTTGGCTTTAAATACACTCTATATGCTGATGAGTTCCAAATTTATATCTCCAGTCTGGACATCCTCCCTGAACCTACACTCATACTTCAAACACTTACTCTACTCGGATGTCGAGTAGGTTTTACAACTAACACATCCAAATGTGAGCTCACGACAGTACCCCCTCCTCACCACCATGACCAGAAATGCCTGTCATAGCCAAGTCCATATGCTTATTTTTATTAATAAGTACACCAAACTTTCAGGTGCTAAAATCTATGTTCGTTTTCTATTGGTGCATTATAGTTTATCCCAAATTCGGGGTAGGAAGCAAGAATCACTGGAGGTCATCTTGAAATCTGACTCCCACTTAACAATGTCTTAACACGCTGTATCTTTATTTTACTTATTTACTTTGTCAGTTGCCTCTGTGGTAGGAAAGCTTCATCATGTCAGGGCTTTTTGATGGACTATTGTATCCTTAGTGCCTGGAACAGCACCTGGTATATATGAGGAATTCAATATATATGTTCTGAATGACTGAATTAAGACTGGATGTCTTGGCCTTTCTTGCAACTAGGTGTGGCCATGTGAATTTTGACCAGTGAAATGTGATCGAAAGTGCTGAATGCCGTGTCGAGATTGTGCACTGGAAGGGAATGGACTCGGCCTCCAGTTTCCTTTTCTCCCTCCTCACGGGCTGGATTATTTATAGATCACATGCAGATAACGGAGACACCAGCAAAGTCAGAGCCACATACAGAAGCCTGGATCCTTGACACTATGAAATCACTCTTCTAGCCCTGGCCTGCATCTCCCAGGACTGGTAACTAAGAGAACAATTTTAAGCTGTTTAAAACCACAGTCACTTTGAGTCTCTAATATTGTAGGTGAACTTAGAGTTTAATTAATATGTTACATGAGTGAGTGGGGCTATATAGAAGCACGATGATGCCTAAAAATAGCCCAAGCAAGTAAGATAATGGCCAACTAGTAGTTAGAGAATGACAAATATAGACCTCCTCATATATAGTATCCCATTGTAAGGATATACTATAATTTATTCATCTGTTGTTGACAGGCATGGGAGTAGTTTTTACTTTTACACACCTATGACTTAATGATTTATGGACATTATTGCATATGACTCGGTGAACACATGTGCAGTGGATTGGCTATATATGAAAATGTCCAGCTTTAGAAAATTCTGCCAGTTTTCCAAAAAGGTCATATTACTTTACAAGCCTACTAGCAGAACAAGAGAATTTTAGTCATTTCACATCCTTGTCACAGTAATGTTTCTCTTTTCATTGTGTACATTCTGTTCTGTGTGTAGAGGTATCTCGTTGCAATTTTAATTTGCCTATGCCCCGTGATAAATGAAATGGAGCTCCTTTTCATATACTTATGAGCCATTTGGATATCTTTTTTGTGTGTATAAAGTGCTTATTCAGATGTTTTTCCCAGTTCACCTTATTCTTTGAATCTAATGATCACAACATTCATCGAGTATACCATGTTGGATCTATGGAAGTATATGCTTACTGAATGTGTACAACGGCACCGTTCAGTAGGTCTTACGACTCTTTTTTCCATTTTACAATTGAAGACTGAGCCCCTGAAACATTCAGTAATTCACCCAAACCCTCTCAGTTGTAAGTGGTGAAGCCATGGTCTAAACATAGATCTGCCTGACAGCCTGAAGTTCGAATGGCAAACCTTTGATAGGTGACATGGTTATCACTCACTTTCCTCAGACTGCATGTAACTTTGTCATCTTAACCATTTTCAGTGACTATCTTACTGGCACCCCAAGGAAAGTAGCCACATTGTGGGTGGGCTGCTGAGGACTACTCAGAAAAGCTTTGAACTCTAACCTATGTAGTGTATCTCTGGGGAATTCTAACCCAAATCACACTCCCAGAAGCATTCCAAGGCCATGGAAATTTCTAATATGACTCCTTCTTGAGTTAAGTCAAATAAACCTTAGATTGTATCTGTAGAAATGGAAATCTCGGCTTCCAGAAGGTGTTAGGGATGGACCTGTGTCATGAAATGTCTATGGAGTGCCCAGTGCCTTCTAGTTGTGCCGATCGAGTTCCAGCTTCACTGGGGACTGTGTTCCTGTGTCAGGTGTTTATATGTTGCCAGGTGAAACTACACTTACTGTTTTATTCTATTTTGAAAGGGATTTCAAGATAAAACACAGAAAGATACAGCTCTGTAATGTTTTAGCAATTGAAAGCCAGGAGCTGCGGGAACCAAAGTTAAGAACTCTGAGGACAAATTTAAGTATTATTAGAAAACACACATAAAGCCATTGCACGAACAGCTCAAAAACACACAAACAAACAAACAAACAAAACAACTTCCATTTATACGGCATCAAGTTGCAATTTGTGAACCATTTTCACATACGTTATCTCATTGGGCCCTCACGCCCTCCTAAAGGTAGATCGGGCAGGTGGTGTCAATATGATTAATATTTCCATGTTACAAATGAAGCGACAAAAGCTCAGAGATTTCCTAACGTCACAAAACTCTTAAATGCTTCTTCCAGGTCTCAAGGTCAGACCTTCCGCCTCGTCTCCCTGCCCCACACATTCTCTTACACACCTGGCAATATTTAGAAAGGACTGTGAATGCTCACAAAGGAAGTTGGCGTGGAGGTAAAACATCAGAACAATGAGGAGTTCTCTAAGAGAGGGCATTTTTGGAAAAGGCACAATGGTTGGGTAAAAAAATGGGCGGCACTGTGAAGAGTTCCTGCTTGATTCATTTATCACAGCTTCAACAACAACAAACAACAACAACGGCAAAAAAGAAAGTTTAGGGGAATCTTACAGTCGTCAGAAGTTTTTTCAAAGTTAAAGGAAATTCCTTCATCCCTACAGCCAGCAGAGGTCTTGTGACAGCTACTCCACAGTGCGAGAACCCAGACATGGCAGCAAATACCTACTCCTCAGATGCGAATTTACAGAGAAATTCAGTCACCTTCCAGAGGATAGGAGATATCATCGGAAGCACATTTCTACATTCCTCATGTCCCCAGGTGACAGTACTTATTGTCATCAGAAGAATAGAGGGCACAGATGTACATCTCTCCATTCGTAAGTAGAATTCTTTGTGCTACACTGTAAAGCTCACTATTTTTGTACTGTGAAAGAAAGGAATTCTAAGCAAAGTTAGTGTTTGCTAGTTATGAAAATTTGACAAGTCCTCTAAAGCAGTGTCACCGTATAGCTCATTTGGTCATGTAATTATAGGGATGAATATTGGAGTGTCAAGGTTTCTATTAATACTGATTCTGTTAGGTTTAGAAACTTCACCATAACTGTCTTGGAAAGTAATACAAAGCTGTTCATTGGGAAACTTCTAATAAATGAAAAGCATTTCAAATCCTGAATTTTGTCAAAAGATGTATTTTGTCACAATTGTCTTCCAAAATGTGTAGAAAGCTAGACTTGGACTCGGAAGGCCTAAATTCTGGTTCCGGTTCTGCCATTCATTTTTTTACACAACGCTGGCAAGTCACTCAATTTCTCTAAGTTTGTTTCATCATGTCTAAAATGAGGCGGTTCGATGAACTTAAACATGGAGCTCGAATAACAAGGTTCTGTTTATTTCTCACTTCGGCTCCGGGGTCTGACTGAGTGGTACGTGTTTATCATTCACTAAATATTTATTGCATGAACTTCAGGCGACTTATAATTGTTGCATTCCATGATTTTGTGGTAGAAATTCGAAGAATTTCTAGAGAATATGAAATTGTCAAGATACAAATACACACACACACTTAAAATGAGAAGATGCCAAGTGTTAGGTAAGTTTCACACAGCTCCTTTGTTAGAACAGAAAAAAAGCTTTAAATAACGGCAGCCCTGAATCTATTGACTTAATTTAACTTTCCACTACAGAACCAAATTTCAGGAAGCATGACTTTTTAGAATTTTCAAAAGCTACTTTCACCGAGATATTTTATGATGTGAAAAAGCCTAGTCTATATATATCTATACCCACGCATATTTATTCACATTAATGAACAACTCGTCTAAGGCAACTATTTACAACATATATACATATATATATGTATATATGTATATATACATATATATTTACATATATATACAACATATATACATATATACATTTACAACATATATACATATATATATATATAATTTCCGTTTACTTCCTTGGAAGATAAAGACACTCTTGGATATATTAGCATTAGACCAAATCGGTGAAGGTTCTTTCTGCTTTAATTTTATCTTGGCTCACTGGAGTCCTGAACTGCCATTTTCCATCAGTGTCTCATTTTATACCATTTTCCTTCACACATCTTTTTGAAGTCTCCTTTTCTTTTCACTCAGCTTCCCTAAGCACAATATTTTGGCTGAGATTAAACCCCTTTTACCTAAAGGAATGAATAAATGATTATTTCCCGAAGGCAGTTATAGCTATATATATATAAAAAATTTCTTAAAGAAATCTCTAATTGGCCAAAGATCAGGCAATTTAATAATCTCAGGTGTTCCCCGTATCCCTTAGAACACATACGTAATAGTCTAGCACAGTAGTTTTTCATGCGTTTAAAGCCACAGAATTCCTGCTTCGGACAAAATCAGGCAGCAGTCCAGTGCACAGATTTGACAAGGAATAAAGCACTCTGGTTGAAGCAGAGATGAGGATCCACAACCTTCCCCACTCACTCTGCTTCCTAAGGGTGCTCATAAATGTCTATTGCAATAATTAATCACACTCATATTTTTTAACATGCTGGGAATGTAGCGATGTGAGAGGTGAACAGAATACACAATTGGATTTTGCCTATTATTCTCTATTTCTGTCCCATGTTTGAAACTTTGGCTCGTTATATGGTTGTGATTTAAAGTAAATCTGGTCGACTAAGTGTATTCCTGAAGGCAGTGTAATTGCTACTAGCTCTTTTAATAGTACCAGATTTCCCCTAATTTGGGTTTTCCCTTACTCAAACTTTGAATTTCATCCAACCACCAAAACAACTGCTTTCTCCTCTGAAACAAAACGTCCAGTGGTATTTCCCCAGCAGAAAAGACTGTGAAGAAGATGACCTCCAGAAAGGCCACCCAGATTTACTTTCCTCATTTCTCACCCTGCAGGCAGCTCTAGCTCAGCAGTTCCCAAATCAAACTTTCACTTTCCCCCAAAACCTGTCCCTCCTCCTGGTTAATGGTTCTGCCACCTACCCATTCACAAATTCAAAACCTTGGTCACCATAAAAACATCACCATTAAATTACCAGGGGCTCCGAGAGGCGTCGTATGTAGATCAAGATTTTTCAACTACAGCATCGTTGACTTTGGGGGCAGGATGATTCACTCCTGGAGGGCTGTCCTGTGCATTGTGGGTGTTGAGCAGCATCCCTGGCCTCTACTCACTTGGCAGCAGTAGCTGACCCCCACCCATTTCTAGGCTTCACAGTAGAAAATGCCTTCAGGCATTGCCACATGTCTGCTGGAGGCAAATCAACCCTGGCTGCGAACACTGATGTGGATTCTGTCTTTATCCTTCACGATACTCCCCACCGTAAGTATCGGAACTTTATCCCACATTGTGCAGATGTGGAAACTGGGCCTCAGAGAAATCGAAAGGGCTGGCCTTGGTCATGTGGTGAGAACGTGACAAAGCTGGATTTCAAAGTACTCTACAGACTGGCCCTCTCTCTGGGTCTCCGGCACCCAGTTCCCCCTCACATCTAGTTTGTTATCTGATTCTGTTAAAGTTTCACTCGGAACGTCGTGATACTTCCCCTGCTTCCTATTTCCCACGCTATTGCCTGAGCTCGACTTGTATTTTTAATTGTATTGTAATATCTGGGCTTAATTTATATCTCCCAGATTTCAGCGTCTCTGTTTTTCCATCTCTCTTTTACATTGCTAACAGCGCTACCTTTCTCAAACGGATATTACGTTAGTGCCCTACTGAAACATCTTCTGTGCCTTCCACATCACCTATAACAGTGGTCTTAAAGGGTGGTCTTGGGACCAGCAGCATCTCCGGAAACTTGATAGAAATGCAAATCCTTAGGCCTTGTTCCAAACCTATTGAATCAAAATCTCAAGAATTAGGGCCCAGAAGTCTGTTTTAACAAACCGTCCAGGTGTTTCTGATGCTCACTGGAGTTTGAGAACCTCTAGCCCACCTGATAGGGCTCTCGCACGTCAGGTGCCGTGGAAACCCTGACTTCCTTTTCTACCAGGTGCCCCTCCTGCCCTACCTACCCCACGTGCTTGCCCACCCTCCAATTTCATCAATTCTGCAGCACGTATTTCTGTTCTAAGTGCCATAAGATAGCAAGACAGTTCAGCTCCTACGAGGTCCACAGGCGCCGGGCTGGGGTGCTCCAGCGGCCCACCTGGAGTGAGGTATGTACCGTGTGATTTTAGGCCATCGCATCTCCTTTCTGGTAAACTCGGATGTCTTTTGTGGCTCATTTTCAAATGTTCCTTTTTCTCGAATTACTCAGAAGACAAGTCTCTCGTTTTCCTGAGCGCTCGCTAGCTTTACACATCCTATTATTTCGCTCATCCCAATGCATATTAGCATGTTTGTTTACCTGTCTCCTAGAACACAGGTTAGAGAGGGAAGAGCCTTCTCTCATCGTTGCATGGCCAGCATTATGACAGTGGGTGATCGACCTAGCACACACCGGAATCATCCCAGAGCTTTTAAAAAATACCCCCTAGGGGTACAGATGCGGAATCATGCAAATCCATATTTAAAAAAAAAAAATCCCCACACCTTACTTGAACCATGGCACAGCGTCTTGCACAGCACAGGTATTTAATCAATACGTCTTGACCGTCTGGCCAATCACATTACGGAG